CACCCGGGAGCCTGGCTCCTGCGTGGCCCCGCCCCTGGGCACCCGGCACGTGGGTGGCCCCGCCCCCGGGCGCCCGGCAGCCACGCAACGTTGGGGACCACTGGTCAACACAGACATTTTGTTATTTCAAAATAATTTTGAAATAACAGACTGCTTATTCCTAAATCTGTAAACCTCATTCTACAAGGAATAACGCCTATTCTGAAATAGCTATTTCGAAATAAGGTGTGTAGACGTTCCACTATTGCTATTCTGAAATAGAGCCCCAGGAAGCACTGGGGTGGAATAACCTAGAATGGCCCTGATGAGGGGCTAACTCAAGATAGCACATCTACATTAGGAAAGCCTGCCTTGGACTAATTTTGAGGCTTCCTTGCAGTGTAGACGTGCTATTCGAAATAAACGATTTCTGAATAACTATTCCAGAACAGCTTGTTTTGAAATAAGTGCATAGTGTAGAGCAGCGGTCCCCAACCTTTCGTGGCTGTCCGGGGGCAGGCCGCTCACACGCCACGCTTCTGGGGGTGGGGCCACGCATGTGCCACGCACCCAGGGCAGGGGATGCCCACGCGCCATGGGACGGCACCACGCATGTGCCGCATGCCTGGTGGCGGGGCCAGCCCAGATATTTCGGGCACCGCGTTGGGGACCACTGGTGTAGAGGGATCCAAACACGGCAGAACCCGAGAAACGATGTAGCACACTGATTAGGTCCATCTAGCTAGCCCAGACACAGCTTCTTTTCCTCTCAGTGGGCAGTGCCCTCCCACTCCAGCCCCCACGCATGACAACCCTTCACAAAGCACGAACGGACTGGAGGCGAGGAAGCCTGGGTGGCGTGTTCCTATGGACCCGGACACACGCTACAGAGAAGCGACGCTAAACCCACTCTGCGAGTTACTGCTGACTCAGCCTGAGTCACCCACACCCACCTTCCCGGAGCCGCTGCCGGGGAAGTTGCTGGCAGTTGCTTGCAGACTTATCTGGGGCTGCAGATGGCTGCATGCAGCGTCCTCTTGCACCTGCTGTTTGTAGCCGACACTCTGGCGGGGGGGCAAATAACCCGCCTCAGTAGCGCTGCAGCCAGCCCGGCTGCCGGGATCAGCTGGGACAAGCAGCGCAGCAGCGGGCAGGAGGCGGAGGGGGTTTCGCCGCTCCGCCAGGAGGAGCCAGCTGCTGCCCTGCAGGAGGCTGGGTCGCTGCTGCCTCCTGCGCGGAGCCTTTCCTCCAGCCTGCACCTGGCCCCCTGGGCTGGGCAGGGCCCCCGCC